TGTGTGTGAAAGCAATGAAGCAGAATAATTCATGTCGAAATTTTAAAGAGCAGTATAAACGCTGTTTTGTACCATTTACCTCTAAACACAGACAAACCTTTGTAGCAGAAATGCTTCCTTCCACATCTTAAATGTACAAATCAATTTTCTATTCAATTTCAGGATGTTCTGTCTATGCTGCATGGTTTTTTTTCTTTAAATATCCAACAGTGCACAATACCTGTAAAGTCAGGATTCACATGCTGCATTTAAAGTGTTTTGGGGAACCTTTGCTGATTCGTCCCCACAGCTGGCTTGAAAATATGCAAACAGAAACCGAACGCCCTTGGTCCTTTATGGCAACATTGTGGTGGGGGGACAGACAGATCTGATATAACAAGATCAATGCTCTGCAGCGCCTTTCCTCAGTTTTGTTGGTGTATTTAACAGATATGATGCATAAGAAGTAATAACTAATAGCACAAGATGTCCACAGTTTTCTCTTCTTTCACATTTAACCTGACCTGGTAAGACTGTCACAACGTCTCGAACTGACCATTGTGCATATTTTTGCTTGAGGCCGACGTGTAAATTGCTGTCAGATTAACATAATGAGCTTGTCTGAAGGGACTTATATCTCACCAGCACACACGTTATATCGGAAATCCTAAAACGATAACCTTGAATTGAAACGAGTCCACTGTTGTCCTGTAGTTCAGTGTGGAGTGTAGCAAGTGGAAAGTGCTTTGCTCTGTTCCCTTTTCAAACGGCCCCCAGTGAGAAACACCCTATTAAAATCTCTTTTCATTTGAGCAAATCGCTTCATGAAGCTAAATAAAGGCAAAGACAGTTCAGCTGCGGGAAGGGAACGGGTATTATTAGGTTGGTTTCATTGCAGTGCAGACCGAATTATAGTAACAGTCACCTTAATTGACTCAGACCGTCCTCTTTTTCTCCTCTTTTCTGCGGGAAAGGCAACAGAGAGAATGGCTTCCTGACACAGGTGTGTGAGAGAGATCATACAAATCCCTTTATGGGGTTGAATTTTTATTGGTTCACTAATTTTT